CTGGTTTGAAAGGCGTGAGAAGTCCTTTTACCCGCAAACGTTTTCCACCGTGGATAGTACACCACACCCAGACACTCAATGCCTGGTCCTGAGGGATCCCACTCTACTCCCTGGCCTGACAATGACAAGCTAAACTGCTGGGGGCTGGGGAGATGGCTTAAGTGGTTAAGAGCACTGGCTGCTCTTCCAGAGGACCGGGGTTCAATTTCCAGCACCCACATGGCAGCTCACAACTGTCTGTAACTCCAGTTCCAGGGGATCTGACACCCTCACAGATGTACATGCAGGCAAAACACCAATGCACATAAAATAAAAATAAATAAATTCTTTAAAAAAAAAAAAAAAAAAAGCTAAACTGCTGCTTCAGGCGAGGTGGCTCCAGATGTCTACGACACAACGTGGCAGCTTCTGTCCCCAGCCCAGCCAGCTGTTTGCACCAGGACTGACTATGCTCACCTTCCACTCTGGTCTTCTGAGACAGGTCTCTCTCTAGCACAAGCTAGCCTTAAATTCACAGCAATCTTCCTGCTTCAGCTGCCAAGGTGTTGAGAGTATGGGTCCTAGCCGTGATGCCGGCAGAGAGCGACGTTTTAGGTGGACTCTGCTTGCCCTGAGGACAGCTTGAATAGTCATAGGCTTTTCGCCTAGAGGAAACCAAGCAGGCCCCCGTGTGGTCTCCGGGTCCTGCCCAGGAGAAGATGTCTTGGGCTGAGAGCCCTTCATTTAGTTGTTTTTTATTGGCCTGGTTTTTCTTTTAGCAGCTCTGGGGACCAGACCCGAGCCTTGCCCACTCAGGGCAAATGCTCCATCGCTGGGTTTCATCCCAGCCCTCCGCTGATTTTCTTGGTGGGAGATTTCTGTGTATGTCCAGATGGGCTTCGCAGAACAACGTAACGTCTCTTCTATAGTTCAGTACTCTCTCTCCTTGACATCTTTACCTTCCCAGGTCCCCTCGGGTGTTTATGACAGCATCTGTCCCTACCCCTTCATCGGCTAACTGCTTGGAATACACATCTCTTCACACACTTCTTTCCACCCTGTGACCTGGACGCTGCGGGGCATTCATGAGCTGTTAGGACTCATGTCTACTATTCATAGCCAAGTTCAACAGTCATTAAGAGATCCGGGCACACTGCGTTAGGGTGCCCCTGTAAGAGCAGTCCGGACAAACCGATGAGGGCCAGAAGTCAGTACTTGTGAGAGAGAAAACAATGGCCATGTTCTTCGGAGGTGGTGACCCAAGGCAGGGATCATTGTGCCGTTTCTCTGTAGCTGAAAACTTTGTTTTACTGAATGCTGTTACCTTCTGCATCACGTATGGGGAATTTTAAGCAGGCAAACGGAAGAAGGTCTGATTGAAGATGAAGTTAAGTGAAAGAAATTGGTCTCATTTAGCACATGACAGGATTCATCTGTGTTCCCAAGTCCACTGAGGTGGCATCATGGGCGTTTCATATTCATGAGCTGCTGCGACACTGTGTCCCCTCATTTACAAAGAGCCGTGTTCAGCAAATTCTGTCCCTGTGGATACCCCGTGCATTTCATGGTCTTGTCAGAGAGACATCAAACGCTCCAGTAACCAAATACCAGAAAATGGCTTTAATTAGTGGATCTCAATCGTATAAATAATTTTTTTTTCTAAGTGAAAAAATGGAGAATTTTTTAAAAGGGAAAAAAGAAGGGGAAAGCGGTAGGCAACAGGCTTCAAACACCCGAAGGAACAAGGGAGAGAGGTCTCGGAGGAGTCCTGAGTGGTCTGTAACTCCCTGAATCAGGGGATGAGCTCCCCAGGTCCCAGGCAGGCCTGCTGTCTGAAGGCTTGTCCCTTGTGATTTCTACTCCTTAACACAGGGTCCAGGCTGTCCTTGTTATCGGCGGATGAAGGAAGACTGCAGGGATGACGGCGGCCAGAAAACCACACTACAAAAGCCTAAGACAGGACCGACTGCAGGCACCATGGTGGCTGGAGACAGCGCCACGCCTGGGCAGCTCCCTGAGGAAGCCTGCCGTAGGAGACAGAAAGCAGTTGCTTCGCCCCACACAAGGAAGCGCCATGTGCTCCTGCTAAACCAAACAAACTCCTAGGCTGCCAGGGAGGCAGACCAGACCTTGAGAAGAGGAAGGTCAAAAAAAGGTCACTCCGGGAAAGTACGTGGCTCCTGAGATGGGCAAGTACGTGCTCCCCGTGCCGAGTTCTTGGTAGATGGGCAGCAGAGAAGGGTCTTGGGAAGAGCACCATGTGAGTCACGGCACTGTGTGGTGTGTAGGAGCCTGGCGCCACTATGACCCACAGAGGGGTGTCACCAGGCTTCTGAAGGAGCTCTCAGATGGAATTTCTTCCTCAGCACTCCCCCTCTGCGACCCCTTCCCCCAAGCCTTCCTAAAGCTCTACAGGGATCGGTGATGACCACACAGAGGACCATCAACCTGGACTGAGCCTTGGGACTGATGCCAGGGCGGGGCTCGTGAGAGACAAGTGAGCTCAAGAGGATTCCCAGACGCCAGGAGCCAGGAAGGGAAGAGTCCCCACAAGGGACTCAATGCTGAGGAGACCTGAGTGTTAGACGTTGGGGTGGCCTCCAGGGACCGTCCTCCCACTGGTGACTGGCAGCTCCTCGGAGCTTCCTGGGGCTGGTCTCCATCCTACATCTGCAGGCCTGCGCTAAGGACGGACGAGGAGGAAGAAAGAACTTGAAACAGAACGGAGGGATGAGTGGCTTGAAGGATGGAGACTGAGGAACTCTTCACGGAGGCCCAGCATGAGTGAGTGACACGGGTCAATGCAGCAGGGAGAGCGCCGTCGCGGAGGCACCATCGAAGTGTGTTAGCAACCAGGCATATCGAATTCTATTTCATCCTCTTCATGTTCCCGGGGAAAAAAAACAAGACAAACCACACCGCTTTCATTCCAAATCCTTAGGTTTTGTGTTTCTCCTTATATATATTTATTAAAAAAATGCTCCTTTGATCGATGCCACCAGTGACACCCCACATACGGAACACCTCTGAGAAGCTCCCTCCACGAAAGGCCACCGCTGGTGACAGCCAGCTGGTTTTGATCACAGCCACTCCGAATCGGATTTTCATAAGATAGATGAGGAGTCTTACCGCCGCTCTCTCTTATCAGATGAGAAACGGAGGGGGAGGGGAGGACGGGTCCTGGGGGAACAGCGCAACAATCAAGGGCTGTGTGGTTCTTTCTCTGTCCCTCAGCTGCAGCAATTTTCAAAAGAGTCCGCCTCGGGCACTTTTAAATGATGGTGTCTCAATTCTGTAATCATCTTTCAAGAGCTTTCTCTTAAAGGGTCTTTTAGGTAAACCTAGTCCGTCAACCACACTTATGGACTCAGGAATCAAACTGTCCTCCTGTGGATGTGTATAGATGAGTCCCCATGGCCGGTGACTGGCAGGCAAGTTTTAGAAAGCTAGGGAAACTAACGAGAGGAAGGAAGATCCACCCCTTGGCTAAGTTCGCCTCTTGCAAGAGTTGGGGGGGGTCCCCTACTACTTCCTCCCCAGATTTTGGCCACCAGGAGGTTTGGCTCGCTCAGGTCCTAGAGGAACAAATCTCCATTTGTGTCCGAAGGCAAAGACTTCTTTCTCCAAGCCAGGGTGAAGTGACACTCCATGTCTACCCTCAGACACATAAACATACCTGTCCCTTTCCATTTCACCCAGGCAACACCTGGATTCGGGCTTTGATGTGAGCAAACAACCATGGAATGAGGAGTGTGTGGGCAGTCGCTGTCCAGCCAAGACAACTTGCTGAGTATTGGAGGCAATTCTTCATGGCAGAGACCATTGGGCTGTTTCTCTACACAGTCCCTATCATTTGCAAAAGATCCTAGGACACCAAGCCTCTATATCCTGGTTACGTACACTTGAGTGTATGTGTGTAGGGTCTCCGTATAGAGGCTGCTGTTCTCCATGTGGAACTGGCTACACTATGGAGCCCATCGGCTCTCATGCCGCAGTTGCCCGCTCCCTTCACAACTGTATGGAAGAGGGACTGCATCTGGCCCAGAAGGCTGGACCACCTCTCAGCCACATCTGGACAGCCTCAGAGAATTAAATAGGAGCAATTTCATCCTATCTAGATTCTGCCTCCCACACCCATGAGGAAGAAGCCAGGAGCTAAGAACACATACCATCATTTCTTTCATGATTTCAGAGAGACGGAATTCTCCTTCACACTGAATGTTGGGTAATCTACGAAACACATTCCTCCAGCTAGACTACGAGTGGCAATAATGCTGATGGCGCTTCCCATGTTCCCAGAGGAAGGTCCTACAACCTGTGTCATCAAAAACATGCATGCAGACAAGGTGCAATGCTCCTGTTCTCCTTCTGCCCCTTCAGATGTGGACATGGGAGTAAGCCATTCATAGGAACAAAGATGGACTCCCAGAGAAGGTCACTGTTAACTGTGCTTCAGACCGAGACGTCCTGACATCAATTGTGGCAAGTCTGTTATGGTTTGAATGTGAAGTGTCCCCAAGGGCTCACCAGCTATGAACACGTGTTCTCTGGCTGGCACTGTTACTATGGGAAGCTATGGATCCTTTAGGAGGTAGCACCCAGCTAGCAGAAGTAGATCACTGGGAACCGGGGCTTTGAAGGTTATATCATCATAGGGCACCATGACGCAAACAGCCACCAACACAAGCTTCCACCACCGTGAAATGAGCAGCCCCGCTGTGTCTCCCCGCTGTGATGGACTGAGACCCTATAAAACTGTGAGCCAAAATAAATGTTACCAGCAGACACTGGGGTCACAGTGACTCAAAAGTAATGAATACATCTACTGTGACTTGAAACTCCAGAATACTGCTCAGATACAAAGAGCTCCCCCACCCCTCACCCCCACCAGCTCTGCTAGTTGAAGCAACAGAAGTCAGCCATGCGCTTCTTGCCATAGCTACGCAGAACCCCCTCCAGGGTCCCAAAGCTGTGGGGCTCCTCTTAGATGGCAATGTCCCAAACCAGGAACCCAAGTAAACCTTTTCTCTTCCTGAGTTCTGGCTCAGGTATTTTATTATAGTAAGGGGAAGCTGACTTTACAGCTACTTTCTTTGTTGCTGTGACAGAATGCCTGGCAATGAACAACTCAGGAAAGGGGTTATCTTGGCTCACAGTTTGAGGGTACAGTCCACAGTGGCAGGGAAATCGAGGTGGCAGGAGCCCGAGGCAGCTGGTCACTTTGTATCCACAGTTGGGAAAGCAGAGACATGAATACTGGTGCTCCGCTAGCTTTCTCCTTTCTATTCAGTCCAGCATAGGGCGGGTCTTCCTACCTCAACCTAATCTAGAAAGTTCCTCACAGCCGCGCTGTGGTTTGTCTCGGGTGATTCTGGATCCTGTTCAATCAGAAAAGCACACACTGTCAAATGCAGACATTAATGAGGTTATACACCATTACAAGTAACACTGAACACAAGGAGACTTAGGACTCACAATCCAGCACTTCCTACAGGCTACTTTAGCTGCACATTCACCATTATTACAGCTAAGTGCCTACAGCGGGACTATGATATAATGGTGTGCCCGCCTGTCCTAACTGTGGCCGGTGATGTCCTATCGTTAGCTTGAAACTAGCCAACACGGCACCATGGAAGCTGGCAAACCCTGCCTTTGTGATTGGTTCTCTTCCTCTGCAGAGCTGGTTGCTAATTTGCCCATGCCTGGTTGTTTACTGGCCATGTGACCTGTGAGTTATTTAACGCGGCAGAGCTTTGACCTCCTCCGTGGTGAGAGGGTGATTATCACCACGGTAAGTGTGGCAGCAACTCCACAGGTTACACCATGGACAACGTGGACACAAGCTTAATTACCAACACTCTTTCCCACAAGATTGGTTTCTGTTTCAGATTTCCTACCCAGTATCTGGTAAACAAAGTAAGGCACAGACCAAAGGGAGGGCAGCCTGTCCTAGCTCACGACCTCTGGGCGCTGGCTGCAGCTACTGTGTGTGGGCGCCGAGGCAGGATAGGCAGGAATGGCGTTAGAAGGACTTCCGTGCATAGCGCTACTAACTTTGGACTTTGGACTTAAACTGGTAATGATTATGGCCTAACTAAAATTATGGACACAAAGGAGCCAGATTTAGGAGGCACCTAGGAAATGCCACCAGCGGCATGAAGCTTCAGGAAGGCAGGCAACACAACAAAAATGTTCTCACTAAGCACCAAAGGAGGTAAGGCACCAGGATTCCATTTTATCTGTTCTTAAGGAATTCTTTCCACTTTCACTTTCTCTCCATGGAAGCCGTTTAGGCACAACGTGACTGCTGTTTGCAGAAGGGATGAAGGATGTCATAGAGGGTTAAACAAGAACGAGGCAGCACCCGAAAGAGAGACAGAAAGCCCAGAGTTGGAGATGGCTGGGGAGCCGGAGTCGGGGGTCGGCTGAGATAGCCCTCTAGAGATAGCGTGTTTCCAATTCCGCTGACAGCCGGCACCTCACATCTCTTCCAGCCTCGTGGCGTGGCTGTGTTGAGCCACTTTTACCTATTTTCCCTGTTGACATGGATAGAAAATTGAGCAATTACCCTCAAACTCAAAGCTCTCAGATCATCCAGATTGCTACACTTGAAGAATTAAGTCCCCAATCGCCCCTGGCTAGAAGTGGCTCCACTCGGCTTGTCCTTTAGGAATTAAACACTTTTGGGTTGGTCAGAAGGATTTATTATTCCGAGGTTTCAAGGCATTTCACTTCTGTCAAAACTGGACCTCGGGATGTGAAAGAGACAGCTCTCCCCAGCGGGGCGAGGTGCACCCACAGCTCGGGGGTGCCGTGAGAGGGAGTCACAACGCCAGGCACAGTCCTGCAGGATGCAGGAAGGCAAGGCTCTAACACGGTGACTTCTTCGATTAAGCTCCCGTTCTCAGAGACCTTCCGTTTTGAAACGACAACTGGGAGAGCTCACAGACGTTTTCCTAACTTGCATTTTGGTCTGACACAAATGACTTGAAAGTTGAGTCCTTGTTCAATTGTATATTCAGTGACAGTTTGAACCTGAATACGCTTTGTGGATGTGTGTGCACTCTCTTGTGTGTGCTTCACGTCGAGGCTAAAGACATCATGTGTGTGCTTGCACGTTGAGGCTAAAGACATCAGGCGTCTTCTCCAATGGCTCGCCACCTTATTTTTTGAGACAGGGTCTCTCACTGAAACTGGAGCTTCCAGGTTTGGTTAGACTGGGTGGTAAGCAGTCCAGAGCACCCTCCTGCTCCCGTGCCCCCAGGGCTGGGATTGGAGGCACACACAGCTGTACCCTGGGTTTTCACGTGGGTGCTAATAAGACTCAAGTCCATGTTTGCATGGCAGGCACTTTGCCGATGGAAGCCTCTCCCCAGGGTCCCTGGATCATCTTCTCTGAAGATAAGGAATTGCTTTTCCCATCTATGTACCGCTCACTTCTTTACGGCCTCACATTCTAGCCTGAGCTTGCCCTCTACTAGTGAGTGAAATTTAGGACAGACAGAGACTAAGCAGCCCTGAGAGAGGTTGCAGGGTGTGTGTGTGTGTGTGTGTGTGTGTGTGTGTGTGTGTGTGTGTGTGTGTGTGTGTGTGTGACACCTTTGCACCTGTGGTCTCTCTATCTCCCCACCCCCACTGCCCTTCCCTGGCAACTTCTGCTTCTCGATCAGCTGATGCCCGAAAGTCACTTCTTTAGATGGTCCTTTCGCTCCATCACCCAGTCTAAGTCAGGTCTCTTTTTCTCTCTAACGGCATCTGTATTCTTCCTTTAGGGGACGAAGTCATTTTTTTTTTTTTTTTTCCCGAGACAAGGTTTCTCTGTGTAGCAGCCCTGCTGTCCTGGAACTCACTTTGTAGATCAGGCTGGCCTTGAACTCAGAGATCTGCCTGCCTTTGCCTCCTGAGTGCTGCGATTAAAGGCATGCACCGCCACATCTGCTGTTCCTACCTATTTAGTTGTATGATAATGTATTTTATTCCTGTCCCCCAGCTAGGTAAGCTGCCTTGAAGGCAGAGCAATGAACACCTAGCTCACCATGATACCCTAGAGCCCAGTCTCCTACATCACTCGGCAGAAGGATGTGCAAATGGTCGCTGAGTCAATGAATCCGTGAGCAGCTTGTCCAAAGTCAGAGGCTGAGTTCAGTCCTATTCCAGATATGACATTCCTTTTCAAATGGCATGTAACCTTCCATGACAAATATCTAATGGTTTTAGGGCGAGCCAAAAACTTGATTTTAAGAATGAATGACCTACAGAATGAAAAATAGGATTATGTGAAATTAAAAATTTTTGCATAGCTAAAGAAATAATCACCAAGAGCCTACAGAATGGGGGAAAAGTCACTGCCAATTACGTATCAGACAAGGAATTAGAATGTGACACTTCTATACATAAAAATATCAAACATTAAATGCCAAATACCATCCAACTGATAAACAGGTCAATGGATTGAACAGGAAGTTCTCAAAAGAAATACAAATAAATATTTGAGAAGTGTTCAGCATCCTTAGCCACTAGAACTGCTTTGAGATTCCATCTCACCCCAATCAGAATGGCCATCATCAAGAAAGCCAATGGCAACAAATGCTGAGGCTGTGGGGAAAAGGGCAGGGAAACTGGGGGAGCCACTATGGAAGTCAGTGTGGAAGTTCCCCAAAAATCTAAAAACAGAACTACCATGACTCAGCTGGACCACTCCCAGGAATATACTGGAAGGACAGTAAGTCAACGCACCGTGGAGATATTTGCACATCCATGTCTACTGATGTACTACTATTCACCTAGATGTCCATGAGCAGGTGAAAGAAGAAATACTGTATACACACGATGGAATATGTTAGCCAGAAAGAAAAAATTAAATTATGACCTTTAGAGGAAAATGGGTGCAATGAAGATCACAAGCAATGAGACAGACCAGACCCAGAAACATAGTGAAATACTGCAGATATTCTTACACAGACTCTAGATTTAAATGTATATACAATGTGTATATGCACATGCATGTGCCTGTGTGCGCATGCGTGTGTGATGAATGGGGACAGGGAGGTCTTATGGAAAGAGAGGGGAGAAAAGAAAGAGTAATGGAGTATATGTGACAAGAAAGCAGAAGGGAGGGGCCCTTTGAAGGGACGAAGGGGACCAGATTCACCGGGAGAAGGCATAAGAGAGATTGGGACCCATCCCATCCAACACAGTATGACATGTGAACGCCATTATACTGTACACCAACTTTAAAAGTGTACTTAGAAAGAATGGATGGTCCTGCCATTGGAGGATGCTCCTCTCAATGGAGAAGACTTGTTTTGCCTTCTCAAAGGTCACGTGGGGCCCTGGCTGCCCATCCCTCCCCAGCTGCTCTCCAGCATCACAACCTCCCTCTGTTTAGGGACAGCTGGGAGTGCTTCAAGCGGAAGCAGCAGGTTAGAAAGATGACTGAAGATCTCCAAAAACGTCACTAAAGGCAGTCTGGAGTTGGAATGGCAAGAACTGGGGCTTAGCTCTGCAAACCAGCATCCCTTCCGGCTACATTAGCCAGTCTCCATGTGGAGTCTCTCCTTAGGTCAGGCCATTCTTCTCTTCCAGCTAATCAGGTCCTGTTCCCCCTTCACGACCTGGTCCAAGTTCTTCCCTCTTCCTGAGGTGTTTTCAGCCTAGACACAACTCAACACACAGTCTTGAAGGCAGAGACAATGAACACCTACCTCACCATCATATCCTAGAGCCCTTAGGTAACCATGTCCTAGCCACGCATCCCTCACTCTGTCATGGCTGCTGAATTCCGAATTCCTGTAGAGCTTTTTTTTTTTTTTTTTAATCTTCTGTTTTGCTTCCCAACAAGGACCTGTGTTCCTTTAGGGCAAAGCCATCCTGGGTTTCGTGAAGGATTTGCAAGTCGCTTTCAAAGACCTAATCCAACTTGCAGACGTGTTCTACTTACAGTTTTTTTTTTTTTTTTTTTTTTTTTTTTTAAGAATTAGTTCTTGGGGGCTGGCAGCCTAGCTCAGTGACAGACTGCTTAGCACACATGTGGCCCTGGGTACAAGCTCCAGCACATGTCTACAAGTGTCATTTTTAATTTCGTATTTAATTTTTTCATGCTGGGGATTTAGCCGTACAGGAGCTATGGGCATTTTACAATTAGAAATACATCCTTGGTCTGTCTGTCATCCTTTGAAACCTAATTTGAAATCTTTCAAGTTGGACTCTCTGTGTTCATCACAGGCTCCAACACTCTCCCTCGCCTACCCTTTCGTTGTTCCGTGTGTTTGCATTCTGTCTGGCCTCTCCATCCATCTGAGCTTACAGCGAGCCATGAACTTGCAAACAGTCTCATATCACGTCTTATGGCTCACCAGCAGATGAGTCTGTATGGACTTGTAAACGTCACTCACTGTTTCCATTCTGAAACCTCTGAAGTTCCTTTCCCCTATTTTTTTTTTTTGTTTTGTTTTGTTTTGGTTTTTCGAGACAGGGTTTCTCCGTGTAGTTTTGGTGCCTGTCCTGGATCTCGCTCTGTAGACCAGGCTGGCCTTGAACTCACAGAGATCCACCTGGCTCTACCTCCCGAGTGCTGGGATTAAAGGCATGCGCCACTGCAGCCTGGCTTTCTCCTGTGTTTTTATGTCCTGTTCCCTGGAAGGACAGGGCATAGGTGGAGACATGTCACGCTTCTCCTTCCTCCCCCAGCAGAGGAAGAATGAGTGTCACCCACCAAGGGTGAAGACGCTTAGGACGCAGCTATTGAGATGAGGCTTCTGAACCTGCTCCATGACCCACGGGCAGGCAAGGAGCAAGAGCATCTTCTCACCAGACCGGAAGTTCCTGGAGGCCTGGAGGGACTGCCTTGGTCATCAGCATCTCTGGCACCTGGGGCAACACGGGCCCGAGCCGGCACTGGGTGAAAACGCGCTGGCCCTCCTCCAGGAGGAGACAGAACGAGGGAGCCTTGCTTTGGGCTTTCCTCTTCTCGCCTAGGCACTGCTCGCCAATGACCCGTCCCTACCTGGTGAGATCAGACCCTTCCCGGGTGAAAACACTCCTTGCTCCTCTAAGAACCTGAACGGGGCTTTATTAAGAGACCAGTAGGGCTCCTTACAGGTGTCCAAGGAGCTAATGTCGTCGTTGAATGCGTGGCCACGGATGATTCACGGGAATCATTCCCGGGCTCTCCCCACCCACAGGATATTCCAAGTTCAAAGGAGCAGCCTTCACTAGCCAACCAAGTAATTCTCCGAGCAAAGATAATTCTAGAAACTAGTTATATGTAACATATGATTCTTAGCACATAATGGATTCTAAACATTCACATTCAGTGAAATGGACTAAGTCGAGTGTGAAGTGTGACATATGAACTGATTTTCCATTAAGGATGCAAGCAGAACTGGATGGAAAAACAGATTTATGCTAGGGAGGAGGGGTCTCTCCTGGGGGGCGGGGGGCGGGGCAAGGTGCTCTCAGGAGAAAGGGGTTTGTGCAGCAGGCCTCCATATCAAAATCACCCGTTTCACATTCCAGGTTTATGAAAGGGAAATATCAGAGGTATTCTCTGAAAATAGGTCTCTTTCTTCTTTCCTTCCTTGGTGGGACTTGACTAAGCACCCATCCGTCACTCTAAACAGTCTGTGGTGAAGATATCAGAATATCTGAGGAATTCCTCACAAAGGCTGAAAATAAGAGCCCTGGGTTCAAAAGTCTGCCTCAAAATCCTGCAGCTACCATCTACTGGTTGTATGACCTTGGGCAAGGTTACTCTTCCAGCCTTAAGCCTGCTTGTCTTCAAAATGGCGATAATGAGCGATTCAAGTGTTTATCAACAGGTTAATACACTGTGGTATATCCATATAATGGATCCTCATTCATCAATAAAAACGGAGACACTAACTATACATGCAGCAACCTGGATCGACGATGTTGGAATCCTAACAAGGAGAAAAGCCAGGCACAACTATGCTTCTATTTACGTAAACTGGGATAAGATGTACATACTTACACTTTCATTTAGTCTAGGAAATGAAATTATTTTATCATGGAAAAAAGCACCAATAGTTGAGGCCAGAGGCAGAGGAGGGATGCGCTGAGGGGGTAATGGAGACTCTGTATGTTCATTGTGACAGTGGTTTCACAGGACACAGATGTCATCCCAACTCACACTGCTTACATTAAGTGGCTAAGGCTTTCCGTGCTTAAACAGACTCAATAAAGCTGATGTAAAAACCTTCGCCCTAGGGAGATGGGGGGTCAGGAAAGTGCCTGCACCACAGCACGAGCATCAGGACCTGAGTTAAGATCCTAGGAACCTAGATAAAAGGCTAAGCACAGTGGTGTGCGCCCAACACTCCAGCAGCACAGGGCAGGGGCAACAGGCAGATTCCCGAAGCTCACGGGTTAGCCTAGTCAAACTGATGAACTCCAGGTGCTGTGAGAGACACTATGTTTTTTTAAAAAAAGTGGAGCCGGGCGGTGGTGGCGCATGCCTTTAATCCCAGCACTCAGGAGGCAGAGCCAGGCGGATCTCTATGAGTTTGAGGCCAGCCTGGGCTACAGAGTGAGCTCCAGGAAAGGTACAAAGCTATACAGAGAAACCCTGTCTCAAAAAACCAAAAGTAGTAATAATAATAATAATAATAATAATAATAGTAATAGTAATAAAGGTGGAAAGTGATCTAGAAGTGACATCCTATCAGCCTCCCACCTTTACATGAATGTACACACACACACACACACACTCACACACACACACGCATGCACTCACGCACGCACTCACGCACACATACACACACACATACACAACTTGCTATAGACTGTTGATTGTTCTTGAGAGTCACACGGCACAGTATGTAAAACATAAGCCAAATGTGGTATCATATCCCTATTATCCCAGACAAGACAATGCAAAGCACCTAGCTTGGTGGCTGGTACAAGGTGAATGTTCAGTAGTAAATGGTGATGGTTAACAATGGTGGACAACTGAGGCACAAGAGCTGATTCTCTTGGGAGTCGGAAGGGCAGTCTCTCTGAGTCCTGCTACACGATATAATACCCTCTAAGCCTCCGCTTCTTAATGCGTTAAAGGGCAGGTTTGCTCAAGATGGCCTAAAGAGCCCCTCCAAGCCACAGCATCGTGACTCTAAAAGCAGTGGCCTTATGGCAACCAGCGCAGCCTCTGGTCCCACACATTCACGTGCAGCAAGTGCAGCATTTGCAAACATTGGCTGTGACATTTTATAGCTACTCCTTGAAATGTAGCATTTTCCCCAGGGAAAAAAGTGAAGAGAGCAGGGTTTCAGAAGCCCTTTGGAGGGTGTTGGAAGGCGGCTCGAGGCCGAGTGGCGAACAGCCTGGAGACACCCGGGGAGCAAGCGCCAGTGGGTCCTGAATTGCTTTGTTTCTTGATATTTCCATTTGGAAGTTTCTGCCAATGAGCTCTAGAAATCATGCTTCCTGAATTAAATGTTTCTTACATAAAGCCCAAGTTTCTTGGTGTTACAAACAAATACACAAGCAACTGGAGACTGAAGTTATTCAAAACATGACCCGCGGGACACGACTTGCCATATGCTCACTCCTAGCCACCGTTCCAGACTGGTCAGATCCTAACACTGCAGATAACCCCATCACCATCTTCTCGTTCAAGGCCTCAGAGGTCTTCAGCCACAGGGTGTGAGGTGAGCCAGCCCCGGGACTCCTGGGGAACCAGAAGAGACCAGACTCCACCCAGACAGGGAATCAGGACCTTGGTGAGTGACCTTAGCAGAAAAACGTTAGGTCGCATACATAGCAGGCCCCAAAATGGCAGTCCTGCTGATGGTGGCCTCGATCCAACTCAGGCTGAATTCTTACTGGGTAAACAGAAACCTGAAATCAGCATCCCTCGGGAATCTTATGATTTGGGGTTTCTGTTTGTCAGGAAGGCCACTACTTCCCTTCAACTGCCAGGGACGAAACAGACTTGGTTCTGGATAAGCAGCTTGTGAAGACCCACCCTGCTGACTAATGTTTAAACTCCGGGCCTTCCCACTGAGATGCTGATCTCTGATTCTGTGAGACAGCCTGGCAGTTTGTTCCCCGCTAAGCTGTTTTCTACCCACAGACTGGTCTTGTTTGGTGATTTCGCTGCTCTCACTTACAAGATGCCTTAGACTAATCCACGGCCACGGGCCACCCTCAGCCGAGGAGAGCTACAAATGCAGCCCAACACGAAACTGTAAACTTACTTAAAATATTGTACTTTTTTAAATGCAATTTCCTTTTCTTTTTCTTTTTTTTTTTTTTTTGTAACTTGATTGTGTGGTTCTCAAGCGTGAACTTTACAACTGACAACACTTTGTCTTGATGGCAAAAAGTTGGACACAGCTTAGGGCTAGTTCCAGACGGCTCTCAAGAGGGACAACTTGACCATCAAAGAGTCATCACCTGCCAGCAACCAGATCAGCCTTGGAAGGGGGACAAATAGATCCAGGATCAATATGTTCACATCCAGAGTATCCCATATCCAATCCAACCACTCATCAGTGAGGGAGCGGGGTATGCGTGTGCGTATGTGTGTGTGTGTGTGTGTGTGTGTGTGTGTGTGTGTGTGAGAGAGAGAGAGAGAGAGAGAGAGAGAGAGAGAGAGAGAGAGAGAGAAAGAGAGAGGGAAACACCTCTTGCAGAAGGAAAATGAGTCAACAGAAACAGATTCAGAAGAGACTACAATGATAGAATTAGCAGCCCAAGTACTTAAAATGGTTACTACACACTACTACAGCAATAGAGGACATGTGTGCATGCGCGTGCACGCGCACACATAAAAAGAAAGACATGAGCAAGACCAGAGGTAAATGGAAGATTTGTTTTAAAGAAGAATTGTGTCTGGGAAAAAGGCTCAGTGAGCGGGGAAGCGTGCTTGCCCTGAAGGGCATGAAGACCTTAGCTTTGAATCTCCAACAGCCATGTAGAAAGTGGGGAGGCTGCTCAAGTCTGTAACCCCAGTAAAGCTGACCGACACACTGCCGCGGAGTTCTGAAGGACCAACGAGGAAGTGGGTAAGCAGTAAGTAAGTGGGTAATGGCAGGAGCATTAGCAGAGCAGAGATGTGAGCAGCAGTCTGGGACTTAAGCCTGCAGCCAAGGACTCCCTGAGGGCTCCCAGGTCTCCTGGCCACTCGCTCTGACTTCCTCTAAGGAGCTCACCTTCTCCGTCATCTGATCGAGTCAGGCTGTGCTGTCTCAGGCGACGGCTGTCGGTGGAAAACAGAACAGGAGAGTTTCAAACACAGATAGCAACGACTAGAGTCAGCAGGTGTCCTGGCTAGTCTTATGTCAATTTGACACAAGCTAGAGTCATCTGAAAGGAGGGACCCTCAACTGAGAAAAGGTCTCCATGAGATCCAGCTGTAAGGCATTTTCTTACTTTGTAATCAGTCTGCCCATCTGTGTTGTTACAGATGAAAATTTGGGCTGGTACCCTGACACTTGGGACATGTAATCCTAAAAAGCCAGTGGTGACACAATGACATGGCCTCCGTGTCATCGGACCTTCAGGTGAAGAGGCAATAAAGCAAGCTCTTAATTCACCATGCAGATCCTAACCCCAGGCCACAGCCGGACTCCACACCACCTGAATTCATTTTTGAAGACTTGATTATTGTTTTTATTGATGTGGATGACTATTTTGTCTGCATACTGTGTGTGCCTGGTTTCCATGGAGGTGAGGTGAGGGGGCTGGAGCCCCTAGACCTGGAGTTAAGGACGGTTGTGAGCGGCCATGTGGGGGTTGTAAACCCACCCCTGGCATTCTGCAAAGGTGCTTAGCTGCCGAGCCAGCTCTCCAGCCCCTTCCATCTGTTTTTCAAGGCTGTGTTTAACACAGGCCGGAGGGACAATGACAGCCAAGGCCACACTGCTGGCACCACTCACTACAGGACACACAAGAATGAGAACTTACTCTTCCATTTCTTCAGAAAGTTTCTTTCCCAATCTGAAAAAAAAAAGAGAAAGAGAGACAAAGTTTAAGACAACCCATGAGTCTCACACACTGGAGCATGCTTGGGGAGAGGCTCAGGCAGGCGCAAGTCAGCATATCCCAAATGCTTTCTTGTAGCCACTGTAAGGCCGTGGCGTTGGTGTGTGTGTGTGTGTGTGTGTGTGTGTGTGTCTGTGTCTGTGTGTGTGTGTCTGTGTGTGTGTGTGCACCACCAGGTATGCGTGTATTGAGTAGATAGGCAGAGGTTGGATCAGATGTATTCCTGGGTAACTTTCCACCTTCCCTCTCCCTCCTCTCCCTCTCTCTGGAGACAGGATTGGCCTGGAATTTTCTGTGTAAACCAGGCTGGCCTAGAACTCACAGAAACCCACTTGCCTTGCATCTGCCTCCTGAATGCTGGGATTAAAGGCCCATATCGCCATGCCCTGCCACCATATCTTTTGAGACAGGGTTTCTCTCGCTGAAGCTGGTCCTCACTGATTGGCTAGACTGGTTGGCCAGCAGTCTCTGGACCTCTGCTCAATGCCAGGGTGACAGGCATACATGACCACATCACTTTTTTTTTATGTGGATGCTGGGGATCAGAAGTCAGATCCTCATGACTGCATAGCAGGTTACTTTACTGCCTGGGCCATATTCCCAGTCCCCTGTAAGGCCTTCTTAAAGCCTCAGTACACCTCCAGATTAGATTGCTGGGTTTGACTGTTGGTAGAGCAAGAAGCTGAAAACTGATGCAGACAGCGCCTCTCTTAACAACTGCCAGACCCACTGACAGGTTGCTTTTTTCAATGACTAAGGCTCCGGTGTAGTTGGTGCTGTTCCTGACCAGCTTAGGTACTCCACAGGAGCCAAGGGGGTGTACTGGCTCCGCTGTTCAGCAAGCCATCTTCTATCTCATCAGCATGAAGAACTGGTATTGGGTGGAATCTGTGCCTGGGCGATACCCGTGCCTTTACCTTTACATGAGATCCACTGGGAAGCCTGTTAGACATGCAGACTGCCTGGCCTGGCATGGAGAGATTTCTGAATTGGTCAATATGGGGATGGGGAAACCAGGACTACATACTGTTATTATTTATGGTATTTATTATTATTATTATTATTATTATTATTATTATTATTATTATTACTATTATTATTTTGGTTTTTCGAGACAGGGTTTCTCTGTGTAGCTTTGGTGCCTGTCCTGGATCTCACTCTGTAGACCAAGCTGACCTCGAACTCACAGAGATCTGCCTGGCTCTGCCTCCCGAGGGCTGGGATTAAAGGCGTGCGCCACCACTGTCTGGCTTATGGTATTATTTTTATTGCTATTATTATGTGGTATTATTAATAACAGCTTGTGTTCTTGGGAACAGAAGTGAGGTCTTACACATGCTAGATGAGCACTCTCCTCCTGAACTACACCCTCAATCTGGGACGATGGATTTTAAACAGAATTCCAACTGATTCTAACCTAAGAAAGTTACCACAAACACCGTGACTGACAACTGGATGGTGTTTAAAGACGGCTTTGGGTACATGGTGATTCCATTTCTCTAGGTCTGAAAATCCCCACAACGAGACCTGCATTTTCTTTAAATAAAGTATTTTCAGTCTGAAATCTAGCACATGGTAGACAGTTGGGGCGTGGTGACAGTGTCATACAGCTAGAAGCAGAGAGCAAGACATTCTGAACCTTGTCCATGCAGAGCCAAAAACGTCACCAGGAAGAGTTTCCCTGAGGCCAACTACCATTCCTGTAAGATGTAAATAACTCCCCCAGCTACTGATCATAAATTCATTTTTTATCAATTAAGAAATAAAAATATAGTCTAAGTTGAAACAAACTACTCTCAACTGCACTGCTTCCTTTTAATTTTGTATGTGTTTGTATGGGTGTTTTGCCTACATGTGTGTGTGTTTAACAAGTGCATGCCTGGTGTCCACAGAAGCCAGAAAAGAATGTTGGAACCCCTGGAACTGGAGTTACAGACAGGTGTGAGCTGCCATGTGGGTTCTTGTGGGAGCCCGTTCTCGGGTTCCTCGTGGCTTTACCCAGCAGGTCCGCATAGAGGATGATTAGGACCACGGGCCTGAGTGCAGGCGTCTGGGATGGTCTGCACTTGGCTGTGCTGGGGGAGGAGGTCTTTTGCTCAACCCCTTGGCGTCTCTATAAAAACCCTGGGGCAGAGACAGTCGGGGCCCGTTGGAAAAGGTTCCAGGCCCTCTCGAGGCTATCCTGTATTTTCTATCTGTTTATTTCCACAATCTAAATCCTTCTATCTAATATTTCCTGCTGCTCGCACTCAAGAAAACTCTGGGGAACTGTGGGGTTGGGGGGTAAGTGCCCCGCAGGTCCTGGGAACTGAACCTGGGTCCTCTGGAAGAGCAGCTGCTGCTCTTGCTCCCTGAGCCTCCTCTTCAGCCCCACACTGTTTTGCTGTTGTTTTTAATTTCTTTTAACTTCATATGTATGAGTGTGTTTATTTATTTATTTATTTGGTTTTTCGAGACAGGGTTTCTCTGTAGCTTTTGCGCCTTTCCTGGAACTCACTCGGTAGCCCAGGCTGGCCTCGAACTCACAGAGATCCGCCTGGCTCTGCCTCCCGAGTGCTGGGATTAAAGGCGTGCGCCACCACCGGCGTATGAGTGTTTTTAATGCACATATGTGTGCATACCATGTGTGTGCCTGAAGAGGACATCTCATCCCCTGGAACTAGAGTTAGACCGTTGTGAGCTGCCATGTGGTGTTGAAAACTAAACCCAGGTCCTTTTGCAAGAGCAGTGAGCCATGTCTCCAGCCCCACCCACTCCCAGCCCTGTTTTTAAAAGTCAGGAGAGAAAGGAGAGCTACTCAAGGACTTGGATCCTGAATGTTCCCTAAAGGCTCAAGTGCCGTAAGCCCGGTCCTGGCCTGCGGTGCTGTTATCGAGCGGTGGATCCTTCGGGAGGCAGGGCCTGGTAGAAGGAAGTTAGGTTGCCGGGTTGTACTCTTAAAGGAGATATTGAGACCCGGGTTCATTCTTCACTCTTTCTTTTGACCTCCCGGGTACTATGAGGTGAACAATTCCTCCAACCACATGCTCCTACACAATGAACAGGGCCACACAATTCTGCACTTACACCACGGAAACCGTGTGCCAAAAGAGACTTTTCTACCGTGTAAGCTGATTTCCTCAGCTAGTCTGCTCCAGCAACAGGAAGCTGACTAAACACAATCTCTGCAGTTGTTGACTCAGTGGCTACAGTTAGCATGGCTGAGCAGCTGGGGTACAAAAGTGAAAGACAGAAGGTGAGGTGGAGGAGGGCGTCCAAGGTCAACTGCGCACCTGCACGGGGCTGCTCTCCCAAAGGAGTTCCAAGGACTGCTCCAAGTCAAAGAACTACGTAGAGAACACTACCGGGTGCCAAGGCCCCTTTCTGTTGGGGAGGATGGCAGGCTCCTGCCCTTGTTCCCATTGTTCCCTTGGACTATGCTTCTAACTCTTCTCTGAAGTTGACCTTTGTCAACTCACTGTCCAGAGGACTCAGCCCACATGTCACCAACAGTGGGAAGATGAGAACAGGTCATGGGAAAATGGGATCAGAGATGCATGGAGACGAGGCCAGGGTCTTCACTTTGTGCACGGGATGTATATGCTCACCCTGAGGTTAACAGTCTCCCCACCCTGTGCTCCCACCATGATGTACCGCACTACCTCAGGTCCAAATCAACAGTGCCACACAATCAATTGAAACTGGAGGAACAGGGCGGCCTGTGTCAGGCTCTGCATCACCCCCAAGGGTGCTCACACCAAAGGCCTGGTTGCCCCTCATGGTGCTACTGTGATTTCTAATGCGCCATGGCAAAAGCAGGGGGAATTCTGCCAAGAGTAGACAATGATGGCGGTGGTAATCTCTGGGGAAGGCTGATTAATGGCAGTTTATCCATTCAGTGTCCAAAAAGCAGGTGAGTTTAAGATTCAACTCAACTGCTATGGAGCCCACATTCCGTTCTCTCTCCCTCTAGGGGAAGTCTGAGGACATTCTTGACCATCTCGTTTCTCTCTTGGAGACAGGAGACAGATTAGAAGATGTCCTGGAAAGGGATGCACTTAGGTGTTTCTCTCCTCTCTCCTTCCCCAGGGCATAAGTAACAGGCTCTGGAACACCACTGGGAGCCCCGCCTTTGCTCTGGCTCACACAGAAGGAAAACTGGCCATTTCTGGGCTTTATCTAGAGCAGCAGTTTTCAACCTATGGATCGAGACCCCTTTGGGGGTTGAAAGACCCTCTCACAGGGGTGACCTAAGACCATCTGAAAACACAGATATTTACATTACCATTCATAATAGTAGCAAAATTACAGTTATGAAGTAGCAACAAGATAATTTTATGGTTGGGGTCAGCACAACATGAGGAACTGTATTAAAGGATCACAGCATTAGGCAGGTTGAAGACCACTGGTCTAAAGTGTAGGTGAATTGGGTTTGCATCACACTGCTGCTTATTCTTTTACCAAATGCTCCTCTTTCTGGATGACTGCAATAAAAAGCCTGGTAACAACACAACCTCTGGGACAGAAGCCAGACCGTCCGCCACCCTGGGCTCCCTCCTACAAGGCTAGGAGGAGTTCTGAGTCAGAGGAACCCGAGGACAGTAGGACGTCCTACAGCCATGTGGCTATCAGTGTGTGAGCCAAAGGCAGCCTTGGCGGGAAGCACAGTCTAGACCTGGTGTATGTATGGTTCTCTGTGGAAAGATAAATATGCACATGTGTGTGCCCCCGGGGATCCGGTATGGAGTACAGCTCTGTCTCTCAGATCTGCTACACTCGTCTGGTCCCCAAAGGCATCTTAGGAGGCACTGAGCCACACACACAACGGTTTTCAGGACTTTCCAAAGACGGCGGCGTCTGTGTCACAGTGTTACTGCAGGTGTCTGCAGTGACCACTGACACTCAGGGACACCAGGCACTGTGGCCATGGGCCTCACCCTCGACACAGAGCTAGCTAGGATGAGCCTGACACTAGA